AAGCAATGATCACTCAAAGATCAAAAACTCAAGTTTAAGCTCAAGTAGGTAGGTAAAGATATGCAATACAATGCTCTCTAAACTTGTTCATATCTGTTACCAATCATATTTATAGCCCCATGGTCGAAAATAGCAGTTACTAGCTGTTGGGGGTCATTAAATGCTCTGCAGGACGCAAGGCTCGAGTTGCAGAACTGTCAGGAGAGCCGGCTTAACTTCCTAGAGCCGGCTATCCGGGTTTGCAGGCCATTCTGTTTTCCTCGAGAGCCGGCTACAAGACTTTGAGCCGGCTTTGGAACTCCGACTTTAAATTCATTAAAAAATCTTCAAATGAGTCAACCGTTGTGCATTAAATACACCCTCACAGCCGGCTATAAAGTTGGGGCCGGCTTTGCGTCTTTTCTCTGCGCGCGTCAAACAACGTTCTTCAAATTTTTGCCTGTAGAGCCGGCTGTAGCTTCCAAAGCCGGCTCTCTGCACTTCCATTTTACCAAAGCTGGCTGCAGCTTTCAAGAGCCAGCTCTTGCACACTTTGAATCTTTTTGGTCTATTTTTAGTGCAATCCAAGTTTACTTGCAATCTTTTAGCAACTTAACTACACACTTAAATAAACCAATTAGTCACTCAAATGTGCTTTGTAATCATCAAAATCATAGGTACAACAATCTCCCCCTTTTTGATGATGACAAAACACTTTGAGAATGAATTAATGAAAGCACATATATACTTCAATATTACCCAGAATTTCAGCACAAAGATAAAGCACATATATACTTCAATATTAGCTAGAATCTCAGCACAAAGATACCCTAGAGAATGACATTAAATTCAGCATATTCTCTCCCCCTTTTTGTCATTCATCAAAAAGCACATAATCAACAAACTCCCCCTTAATTCATGCACATCAATCTTTAAAGCATTTAAGCATGATAACCATTAAGAGAAGTAATTTAAGCACAAAATGCTCCCCCTTAATTCATGCTATCAACCTTTAAAGCATCAAGAATATGTAATGTATATAATCATCAATCATCATCAATATAGCACCATAGACAACCAAAGTCATGAATACAATCATCAACCAATAAACTCCCCCTCAATAAGAGCATATAATCATCAAAATCATAGACAATCAATACCAAAAGTCATAAACTGCAGGAGAGCCGGCTTAA